TCTTTTTTTTTTTTTTTTAGCGTCACTGCTGGAAATGACATCCTAATTTTCAGTTATTTAATGACATAAAACTTCCATCTCATCGAAACTTCGTTTTGTAGGAAAATCAACAACAAATCAAGAGCAAGCAATAATGACTATTTCTTATTACTATTAAACTGTTCCACATCATAACAAAAAAAAAGCTGTTGGATTTTACACTGAATGAATGGTTTGTTTTTACTTAAATCTCTTCTATGATACATTTGGGAAAACAAAATAAATAACAAGTTATAAACTGTATGGAGGCCATTCTTTGTATAGAGGGCTGGTACTCGCTTTTGCTTCCCCCTCCATAAATGTTGATAAATTTCGAATTCAGTTTTTACTCCGAAATAATGACTCAATCTAAATAAATAAAGTTCCTAAAACGAACTTGCTAGCTGGATAAAGAATCTAAAAAATAAAATAAAAATAATTAAAATGAAAAATGTTTAGGTAATGTAAGTTAGTCATTAAAATGTTTGTTTTGGTATTAATTTCGTTTGTGTTTTATACCTGACTTCTATCATATCTCGGCATTGTATTTAGTCAAAATAGGCACAAACTATGAATTTATTTTTAAATCTTAAATAAATAGATAAACAAATTAGCCTCCGTACTTTTCTAACATAAAATTGGGCGCGAATTAGTCCTGTGAAAGAGCTCTGAAATTTGGAACTGGCGAGCCAAGTTCGAATCCGTGAGTTACCACAAAGTATCCCACCCCCATTTTTCCTACCCAGTACCTCAACGGGAAGTCTCTGGACTTATTTTCTAACATAAAATTGGGCACGAATTAGCCCTGTGAAAGAGCTCTGAAATTTGGAACTGGCGAGCCAAGTTCGAATTCGTGAGTTACCACAAAGTATCCCCCCCCAAGAGTAGTAGAGTTCCTAGTACCCAAGGTCCTCCAAACCACGGAACTCTCCATATTCTTGACATTTTCTTTTCCTAAAAGTGAAAACGTAATAAATAATTCATGTTAGTTTGTTTCTTGTTAAACACAAAGCTACACAGTTAGATATTTGTTCTGTGCTCACTACGGGTGTTGAAATCCGATTTTTAGTGTAATAAGTTCAGAGACATACCGCTGAGGTACTGGGTAGGAAAAATACGTTTATCAGTATATCTTACAGCTTCAGTCGAATTATTGATAATGTATTTTCAAGTGAAAAATTGTATTCTATAAAATACTTTTTAACTTGTATTAAAAATGTTTCTTTTATAACCATTGTATTTGTGGTTTTAACAGTTTGTTACTGTTAATTCATTTTATTAGTCAATAAAATCAATTTTTATTTATAAGTTTGGGAAACTACTTGTTTTTGTCTAAACTGAAAATAAAACTAAGGTTTTTAATTAAGCTTAATAAGTGTAATGAAAATCTCAGCTGACTACATATTTTTTTTATAAAATTTCTCTAAACGACTCAATTAGGAATTTTAACCCAGCAGCTAGTGGACTTATTAAGCCTAATAAATTACCCTGTCTCGCCTGTTAAGGCATTTTATACCACAAAGTTAAGCTTAGCTAGTTTTCCCGTTGCATTTAAGATATATTTTCGTGTTAGGTAGTGTAATATGTCTTGTCAAAAAAAAAAAAGTGTTACATCAACTGTAGCTTTGAAACTGAAAATCGAACCGAGCTTTTTAACTCCATCCGCAACATGTTGTCAGAAAAAGCATTAAATTACACAACTTGTGAGTTACTTTTATTAAAAATAATAAATACCATAAAGTATATATATATATATATATATAATGTTAGATATGTTTGTGGGCCAGGTGATGGTTAGAGCACTTGACTCGCAATCTGAGGGTCGTGGGTTCGAATCCCCGTCCCACCAAACATGCTCGCCCTTTCAGCCGTGGGGGCGTTATAATGTGACAGTCAATCCCACTATTCGTTGGTAAAAGAGTAGCCCAAGAGTTGGCGGTGGGTGGTGATGATTAGCTGCCTTCCCTCTGCTAAATTAGGGACGGCTAGCGCAGATAGCCCTTTGTGTAGATTTGCTCGAAATTCAACAACAAACAAACAAAACAAACAGATATGTTTGTGAAAGATAAAAATGACTGACTTTTTTTTCGATCGTATTGTTTTAAAGATTTGGTAGTAATATAATTTTAGAACCCAAAGCTAGCAACTTTTAGTACAAAATTTATTAATTTGAAGAAATATATTGAAATATATGTGTATTACAAGCGGTAAACGAATTACAACACCAAATTAGCGTCATGCCTGGTGTTCTGCTCAGTGAGTTGATGCGTTTTTTTTGGACCCTATTTTAGATCACACTCTATTAAAACGAATGAGGATTTCTGTTTCGTTTAACGTCAGCTATCGGTTAGTCTGTCATGGTCTTTGATAAGGATCGCCACCATATGGAATTCATCTCGATCAAGCCTGAATGGTAAAGTCTATCAGGAAAAGATGAGCGGCCTGAAACCTTATTTCATAATAGAAAAAAAACAACGAATGATTTTGTGTATAAAACAAACCAAATAAACTACAGTATAGCACGTAATGTTTCAAAACCTACGACCCTTCGATGAGATAGCAATCATTTTCCAGACTTGCAACGCTAAAATCCAGAGTGCGATTTGACAGAAAGCAGGTAGCCAACCCATTGTGCGGCTTTGCGTAAAATAAGTAAATAAATTACACCATAATAAATATTGTTACAAGGACTACAGTAAACGCACTTAGGAAAGTCGTGTAATTACTCACAGGCAGGAAATGTGGATTGTTATTCATCATAATGTCACAATCTCAGTTGTAATACACCACTTAACAAGCAGGGAAACTTGATCTTTCACAGATCACTTCACTGAACCAGTAGCATGCATCATAGCCGTAAGCAAGCGGAAGTCAATAACGTTCATATTCCATCAACAATATAGTGCACTATAGCCCTGCACCAGCAAGGATAGCCTGTAGTTCTTTACGTTAATCTCACAGTAACAATTCACACTGCATTATAATTACTGCAGTAGAAAGGAAAGTCAGTAGTTTATACATTAACGTCACAGTAACAATATATAGTACTATAATACTGCACTACAAAATATAGTCAGTAGGTTGTCACGTTAACGTTACAGTAACAATATACAATGTACTACTAGATGAACTTCTGCAGGGTCCCAGAAAGTTTTCTGCTTCAAGAGTATATAAAACCAAAAATTAAGGTTAACAAATATTTTTATTTCTTGCTTTCAAGTTAGTATGTCATGCTATGTTGTAGCTTACAGAGTGCATAATTCTCGTAATTCATGGCATGCGCACGTTTTACTGACGTCACGACAGTAATAATTGCAATGTTAAGCGTCCCTTATGTGACGTCATTTTAGTATATCCTGATTGACTGGCAGACAACACACTACTGTATTATGTGCAAGCGCTTAAAACAGGTGACCCCCTCCAGGCGGCCTTCAGCCCCTTTCGGGGAAATAATACTGCACAAGAAACTTAAGTGAGTAGTTTATTACGTTAACGTCACATTAACAAAATACAGTGTCCTTTCACCCCCTCATAACCAAGGGTAGTCGGTAGTTAATCACGCTAACATCAACGCGATATAGAGTGTATTATGTCCTTAATGAAACGAAAGTTATTCACATTTTACACCACCGCAAGAATAAGATTATGACCCTACACTAGGGGGGAAAGTTTAAATATATCCATGTTCATGTCACAGCACCCAGCAGGTTACATCTCAAGCAAAATAAAATCATCGTTGGAAACGTTCTCATCACAGTATCGTTAATATTCATTTAA